AATCAAGGGTGCGTGTAAAGGAGAAATTGTATCAATAGCACACATACCTTCTTTGAGGTTTTGTTGTGCTCTTTCAGAGCCAGGAAACCGAACACATTTAACAGGATGAATTTCGAGAACATTGAAGAGATCGGCTAGAAAAACGACTAAATTTTGTTTCATTGAGCTAGAAAAAATGCAAGTATTAGATTAGAGGTTCCTAGTTTGATGAAATTTATTCTTCTGTATAGAAAAGAACCACATGATCTTACCTGTTGATATGAAGGTATGAAATATCTTCAGGCATTAAGTGGAAAACTGTGTGAGGTAAACATCTCCGGCAAAAGTCATGGACAAGCATGAGATTCTTCACAGAATCTGACACAGTAGGAAAGTTACTGACAACAACATCTTTCCATGGCACTTCTTCAGGACAATAAAATGATACTAGGGCTGCTAAGCCCACACCATCACTAAGATCCTTTAACTCCTTAATTTCAGGGAATTCTGGTGTTCTTGGTTGATTATCCTAGAAAATGAAACAATACATAGAAAGTGTCATTAGTTTTTAGATGGATCTGTGTCTTTTTACAGTGGAAATAATTTTAAACATACCCCATTCCCCTGTTGTTCTCTTTCCTGTTTGACCTTTTGCCTCAGAGCAGCCAAAGCTTCCCGGACCCAACTCAGCAAAGCAAATTCAGACTCTGTCTGTGCCAGGTCTGGGCTTGCTCTAGCATGATGACTAAATCTTTGAATGGCCGCTTGAACCCTGTCACACGTAGCTACTTCTTTTGCATACAAAATCATCATGGCTTCCATCATTGACATATGTGCACTCTGAAATTATAATTTATTTTAAAATAATGACAGCAGATCTAAAATAGGAATGTTGAACTGTCACCAATATTACTTACAATTTTCATTGGGTTAGTTTGAATGAGTACTGTCTCTGTCACCTGACAGTCCACTGGTTCTGGAATGCTAATGCCTTTTCGAAGAAGTACTTGAATAATGCCTGAATGATTAAGATTGTGATAATTTGGATCGCCATAAATACTAGAGAGAGCAAGGCAGTACATTTCTGCACTCGCCAGTGCGTGCACAATTTGTGGTTTAAGGTGTTCTTGGTCCTGAAATCAAATGAAAAACAATTAGAGGTATAGATTACATTTTTAGAGGAGGGACTTTGGGTGGAACAAGGAACAGAAGCAACAAGAGTGTGCAACTGGCATGCACATGGTAGTGTTCAATGACATGATGCACACATTTTGATGTTCGACTGGAAATTTGAACAATTTGAAGTGTCCAAAGCTGCATGGGTGACCAGGAAGTTGAACACTTGTAAGTGTTAAACTTTACTCTTCTCTCGAGCACTTAAGTATTAAACATTTCCGGTCAAACATCTAAAAGTGTGCATCACGGCGTTGAACACTACCATGTGCATGCCAGTTGCACACTTTCTGTATCAGTGCAGGCAGAGGACTCACCTCATGGTCTCGGTAGAAGGGCTCTCTGAAGTTCTCTGGCACTCTGTTATTATATGCCTTGGACAAAAGCCATTTGACAGAGGCACGCTGCTTCGCCTGCAACCAGAAGTCAACAGAGACCGTGTGAGACATCATGGCACAAAGAAACAACAACACCAACAAAGAAACAAATGTCACATTTGGCTCAACTCGCTCGAACAAGAGCTGCCTCACTAAAACCAACACCAACTGCAGAGGAGTGACGCGGCTGTCGCGGCTCTCATGAGCAGTTTGGGAGTGGTTCTGATCGGAGACTTCCTCTGGGCGCAAGGACAAGGAGCTCCAGGAGCGGCTCGGTCGCGCCACGCCCGACCGCGTAAACACGCATAGACGTGCTACCCACAGCCATGCGTTTGCCTATATTTTAGTCTAGTTTCTATAGACCGTACAGACTACATAGTGGTTGGATATGGCGCATTTATTTGTAGCGTACTCGACTCGTGGGTAACACCTACAACATGTTGCAGGAAAGGGCTGAGGGCTGCAGAGAGTGAGACTGACACTTCGAAATGCTTAACTAATACAATATAGTGCATCAACGTCACTTCGCAGTCATTTATTTCGTGACACTAAGCCTGCGAGCGCGCACCACCTTGCCAATAAATGGGCAGCATCCCACACTTTCAGAATCGAAACATTCGCAACACTGCTGGCCAATTTGTTCCCAAGGCTTTAAAAATGCAGCGTGGCGCAGCGTAGAGGGAGAGGCACGTCTCGAGCCAAACCAAGTCGTCCCGCCCCGCCCCGCCCCACCCTGGACAAATGACACTGTCTTCTGCTCCGAGGTAACGCCCCCACCGTTGCCACTCCCTCTCTCTTACCGAGTCAGAGCAACTGAGAGAGACAGAACAGGCGGAGTGCGGCCGCATCCAAGTGCTCGGCCCCTCGCAGGGGACTGGCCGCCAGCCCGCCGCTCGGCTCTGTAATGGGGTTAGCTCAGAGTCATCACGCTGATTGGCCTTCCCTTCCACGCGTGCGAGAGAGTGGAAGGGAGAGGGGGGAGGGGGAGGGGGGTCCTTGCCGCCCAAACAGAGTAAAACTTCCACCGCAGCCACCACCGGGGACGTAAACCCAAAGCGAGCGTGGCACATTCTATTGTGGACCTCCCATCAAATTCCAGCAGGAGATCCGTTTAAACAAGTTCGATGTACCAATCAGACCTCGTCTCGCGAGACACTGTTCGGCGCGACTGCATACATCTCCCTCTCCCATAACAAGATTGCATTCTGCCTCGAAACGTAGCCCCTTCTCCATTTTTCGATTTGAGGCCTTTCTTTGTTGCAAATGAGAACGAGACAATTTTTCCCGCAACGTTTTTGGGCCAGCGAACAGCATCAGATCTGCACATGCCACAGCCAGTGAGTGCGGCCCCAGGCGCACTCCCCGCCGCTGCCTGCACTGCAGCCTGCAGCCCTGTCCACTCCAAAGGCCTCCTGGGGGCCCCTCTCGTGCGCTACCCTCGCATGCACCCCAATGCGTGGGGCTTCTCGAGGGGCAGACCCGGGGCCCCGGTGCGGAAAGCGCCCCCCCCCCCAAGGCTAAAACAGGTGCCCCTTCAAAAC